TGGCGTTTCATCCAAAAGTCTTCAAGTGCAATTGATTCACAGAGGTGTGCTGAGTTCATTCAGTGGTTCCATGGAACTCCTACACTCACCTTAGAGAATGACCGTAACTTAGGCAGCTCCTAAGCTGGCCCCATATAAATGCACACCTGCTACTCATACCCTTGTGCAATCACTCTCCTTGAGTTTGGTTGGCTGGATTGACTGACTTGCTTCTAGCAAATAGAATGACGCACAGGGAACAATGTGTCACTTCCAGGATTAGATTACAAAAGGCTTTGGCTTGCATGCCTTGCTCACTCACTCTGAGGGAAGCCAGCTGCCATGTTGAGAGCTGCCCTATGGGGAGGCCCACATGGCAAGAAACTGAAGGTGGCCTCCAGCCAACTATCAGTAACTGAGGCCCGAAGTCCAACAACCAGTGAGTAACTGAATATTGCCCACAGCTCTATCAGTTTGGTAAGCATCCCTCCACCTCCTTCCTCATTGAGCCTTCGAAAGAGACAGTAAGTCCACAGACACGCAGACTGCAACCTCTGAGAGACACCTTGAGGCACCCGTCTAAGCTGCTCCGATTCCTGACACAGAAACTGTGAGATAATAAGTTTTTTTTTTGTTGTTTTAAGGTGCTAAATTTGGGGTAATTTGTTATGCATCAATAGATAATAAAGACAGTATCCAAGTTTGAGATTATTTTAATGGCCCCTACCAACTCCACCACTTCTCATGAGGCCTGGGCAGTAGACTATAAAAGATTCACTGTCAAAACTCTCAAAAAGGAACCTTTGTGCCCCAGAATGCAGAGATGCTGTCTAGTTTAGAAACACAGATGCAAGCATGCTCTGGCCACGGAGGTGGCCATGGAAATGTCTGTGCAGTTCAAAGTCAACAGACACATCCAGCTACAGTCCATTGGTCAGAATGAACTAGAGCCAGAACCACACATGCAAGATGAGAGACTCCTTCCTGCCCAGCTGTATTCTGCTATCCAATAAATCCATCCTTAGAATCTGCTCAGCCTAGTGAGCCAAACTATAGCCACAGGCCCAACCTTCCAACCCCCTGGGCTTATGTCATAAGGCTCCATGGCTCACTGAGAACTTCTGAGAGCAGATTCCCTCCTCCTGAAAACCTTTCCCAATGGTCTCAATTATTTCGACTCTCCCAACCTTTCACATAAGCCCCATGAGATCCGAGCCTATAAATCACTTACCTTGATTTTCCAAGCACCTAATGTGAGGCCTGAAACATATGTGGTGATTTCTGAATGTGTGTTATAAACAATACTTCTCTAAGGTATATTTCACTGTCTTTCTCTCTAACTAGACTGTAAGCTTCTTGAGGTCAGGGACTGTGCCTATTTCACTGTGATGTCCTGAGGTTCACTGACTTCCAGACAAACACGGAGATCAGGGCAGAGAACAAGCATACTTTCTGTGAACATGGGTAGATACTTGGCAGCAATCTACAAAGGACTCTTGAGGCTCTCCATCAATTCAGCATCAGACCCTTTCTATTGCACAGTAACCTAATGAAAATTCCTCTGACCCCCACAGCCCTCCTCAAAGTACAGGTGTCTGCACTCTCCTCAGGTCAGGCAATAGAAGAATGTGAAATTAAAAGGCAGAAAGCAAGAAAGAGAGAAAGAGAGCTCTTCCTTTTACTTTCATGGACAGCAAAGACCTCATACAAGACATCTCCGGGCTAGAAAAGAACAAAAAGTCTCAGGAGGCTGAATGGTTCCCTGCTCAGACCCAGCAAGTCCTTTTGCAATTTTTGAAGCAATAACATAGAAGCAGCGAAAGGTGACCAAGCAGATGGTCACACATGCCCAAAAAACCACCTGACCAAGTAATTGTAGGGAGCCAAGACATTCACCTCTCAAAGTCAAGTGGAAGTGACCAATGTTTTGCTTTCGGCAGAGACTACTACCTGATTATTCTGAGAACCAAAGAGGAAATATTAAAACTGAAAGCCCTTGGCTATCGTCAACAATTATACACTAGTATCAACAGAGGAAAATAATTTCCTTCCTGACTCCCACTGGGCCAGTCACGCCTGGAGCAGAAGGTGTGATTAGCTAATCAAACAAAGCAAGAGCCAACCTGTTAGACTGTAGTTTCTAGGGTTTTTCTCAAGCACTGATGCTTCATCTCTGATCTACCTTGTTCCACCTCCTACTGTCTAGAACAAAAATAAATATGGGAAGTAATAATGATACACTATTTCATGTCGATATCAACCTCCATCATTGAGCAAGATTGCAGATCTAACTCCTTTCCAATACTGAGAACACATCAGTGCCTATCCAGCCTTGGTGATGATGGTGGTGCAGGGTTAGACAAAAGGACATACATTGAGCATGTCCTATGTACCAGGTAGGGCACTGGGGGTTACACGTTAGATCGCCTTATTTTTCTGTATGTTCAAGATGAGTCTTTAAACTAAAAAATGAAACAAAAGGATTAACCTGTCGTGTATGGGACACACCTTATAGTTTACAAAACAGGTTAGCATTTATCGACCCATTTGATCTAAACAAACATGAGAGGTAGACAGGGCAATGATTATTATTCCTAATTCTCAGATCAGGGAAATGAAGGCAGAGGGACCTTGTTCTTTTAGGGTTGCACATCTAATCATTGTAAGACCTTCTGATACCCCCTCCCATAATATTTGTTGCCTTTTTATGAACTCACAAACTTTTTTAAGCCATAGTGGTCCCAAAAGCCTTTTTCTGTCCAGTCATTTCTTCACCCTCATAAAACCATGCAGTCCAGCCTCACCTGTGCTAGAACTCCTAAAATACTTCAACAGAGAACTGGCCAGTGCCTGAGGGACCACCCATAGGGAAAGGAACACTCACTGCCTTTGGATTTCTTCTTTCTCTCCATGAAAATGCATTGTGCACCGACCATGTGCCAGACATCCCACGAGACTCTGGGGAAAACTCATGAACAAGAGATGCTGTCTCTCGTTTGACTGGGTTTTCTAGCCTTAAAGCCATAAAGTTCTCCAGGCTCTCATTCCTGTAACAGTTCCTGGTGGGCTATCACTTCCGGTCCTCTCAGCATCCTCATGAGGACAGTCCCGTTGGCTCAAGTCCCTTTCAGAGGATGAGGTGAGGACTAAAGTCTGACACTCTAGGGGAGCTCTGAATGGAGGCTGATAGTCACTCACATAGCTTTAGTCCTCTCTCCGCTTCCTAATAGCACCCAGATGTTCTTTTGAGGGACCACCACATCGCACTGTGTAGCTGCCATGAGGTCGGGGAGGTATTGTTTCAATATTCAGAGCAGAGCCTCAGGTCATACATGCCAATTAGCACAGTGTCCTCCTTGTGGCCTCAGTGACTGGTGCAGAGGAATGCAATTACCCAAGTCTATGGGGATATGGCAAACAGGGCTCTCTTTCCCCAAATGGCAAGTGAGCAGCCGTCTCTTGACCATGAGGTGAAACATCCTGACAATGAAGCCAACACATAGAAGAGGGCAGAACAAGGAGCACAGCATAGATACAACTGTGCCTGCTCAAACTAGGCCTGATGCCCACATTACCTCTAAACTTGCTGGTTTCCAGCAGGGGACCCTCCCTCCCCCAACTTGATTCTAGATAACATTCTGTTCAATGCAGCTTAAGGCTGCATCAGTGAGGACAAAAGCCACTGTTGGCTCATAAATTAGCTTACAAACAAAAATTCCTTTTGTCTCTTTCAGCTCACTCCTGTTTAGGTACTCTCTCCCACTCTACCATTGCAAACTAGATTTTTTTTTTTTTTTATCCAAATGCAAGGCTTCATATTCATCACAATTTAATTTCTAACACTGAAAAAAATTTCAGAAAATAGAACAGGTAACAAAGATCCACATTGGATGCTTAAAAAGTATGCTTGGGATGAAGCTTTCAAAATCATGCTTGAAAATTTTAACAGGCTACACTCTTTAAAAGTCAAAGCCATGGTGTCCAGCCTTTTATCTTATGCAGATCCATAGGCGTAGAAATTCTGTTGTTCTTTTAAGATACATTGATGAAGAAAAAAAGGGCAATGAAATGTAACTGTAAACTGAGCCACACTTTTAAATAAAGTTAGGTTTTATCAATCACAACAGCATCTGCTTTGTTTGGAAAAACTACATCATAAGCATGGTAAGCCATATTATGTAGTCAGTATAAAGTCAGTGGTTGGGGCACAGACAGATTGACCCTCAAGATGGAGACCACAGATCTAGAATTCTAAATAGAAGCCTGTCCCAGAATTCCCCAGCTACTTGCCTCAAGTCTCCCCACAGCCCAGCGTAGCCCACAGTATTAATTCTTCCTACCACCCCTCTTTTCTAGAACATAATGTTCTATTCTACCCTCTAAACACAGAGGAATTCCAAAACACAAGGGAAATCTTACTTTACTTGGTCACCAGTACCCTTTCTGAATGTGCAACAGGATTCGAACTCAGACCCTTTAACACATAGTGTTCAACCTTTTGCTTAAGCAAAGTTAGCCTCCCCTACCTGAACAGATTGTTGTGAAAATAAGATGAAATCACAGAAGAAGCACCATATAAAGGGGTTTAAAAAAAAAACACTCAATAATATTACTTTCTTTCATCACAGATGTCCATAAAACTGGTCATTGACATTTTCATTTTGGTCTTTCAATTTCAAGAACACTTTCCTCCATGCCAAAGGAGAAAGAAGGAAGCAATACAATTATCAGCCACCGGAAATCATCATTTCTCCAAATTTTCTTCCAGTCTCTCTTCAAGCCAACTTCTAAGAGCTGAGTCCTGCCTTTTCTTTGCCACACATTTTATTAGCATTATTATATTCCATCCATTGCCAATGAAATTAGCTTAAGAAAAAAAGAAAGAACATGTTGGTTCTCCTCTAGTTCTTTGTCCATGTTAATTATTAGTGTCATGCTTTCCTTAAATGGAAAACACTGATTTTTAAAACATGCACATTGATTATAAAAAGGAAAAGTTTTCTTTTCTGCATAGGACTTACCAATTGAAGAAGAAATTCCTTCCCTCCAATAAGTGTTCAGTTTAGGAAAAGCCCTAAACTTAGAATCAGGTGAGTGGATTCTGTCTTCAGTTCTGTTGCTGAGCCTCAGTGATCCCACCTATGGAAAACTGGAGAAGAAGGTTGCTCATGAATTTCTAGGATCTTAGCAGCTTTAGAACTTCCAGGTTTATGAACTCACTGACCAGGCAATAGTGAGAAGGATGCCAGGCTTGAAACCCACAAATCTAGTGGCTCACCTCTATTCCTCCTAAGCTCCTGGCACTTGTATTTCACTAATTTGTCTCAGAATGGTGGAGAAAGAGAATGCCAGTCCCCCAGTGTTCATCCTCAGCTCTCCTAGGAAAATAGCTTCATGGTAATATCACAGATGAAAGAGACAGATCAATTAGTTAGATACATGTTAGGTAGGCAAGAAAAAAAGTTAATAGCAAAATCTGAACTACAACAAATAAAAAGAAACAAGGGATATGAGTTTGGAGACACATTTCTAACTATAGGAGCAAGCAAGCCCTCTGAACCTTGATTCCCTTGCCTGAAAAGTAAGAGCAAGTGAATAGCAGAGAGCTAGACAATCTTGACACTTGCCAGGAAATCCTCATTACAGGTTTCATTTAATTAAGAGCTATTACTATTTGCTAAGAATGATGCAATATATATTCCAACACACACAGATGCCGAAGCAGCTGGCTGCTTTAAATGTGTCTTTTATATGCAGGAGAGATCCACATACTAGAAAAACTACTAATCCTATGTTCATTGTCATCATTTTAGATATTATTAAATCAATCATACAATTGTTTCATGTATATTTTCTCATTCAGTCTTCAAATATCCATATAAGATCAAAGTTGCAGGATCGTAATAAAATAACCCACATCAACTCTCCCACTGACAGGAGGAGAAGCTGGGGCCAGAGCAAGGAGGTGGCCACTACAGGACCCCACCATGAGTGCCAGACAATCCAGGGCTCCAGTCCAGGGCTTGTCCACTAGACCCAGTGACCGCCACTTTGACAGAGGGTAGGGAGACTCATTGGGCAAAGGGACTGTCCATTGGTCACATAATAGGCTTTGGAGCACAATCCCGAGTCCCATACTCAAGTCTCTGAACACCTGCTTCAAAGCTCTCAGAGTACAGCCCAACAGCAGAAAGAATTAAGTTAGACAACAGCATACTAGTAATCAAGATAGCCCAACACAGCAATGAGTTTTCTGAGAACTAGTGGTTTTCAAGAACATTAGAATTCTCAAAGCCATTCCACTGAAATGAGAGAAAGGCATAATTTCAAACTTGCTGAGGAATGAAGAATGAGGAGGCCAGTACTGGACCTGTGGACAGCACGGTCATACAGAAAACAAAAGACAGCCTCCACCACAAGGCCCAGGAAACCTAAGCTTCTCCTTGCAGAGGGAGATATAAATCAGAGCAGTTTCTACAACTGCCACAACTGGTGTCTGAGTTCCCAGATTTCTATTCCCTGAAAGGTAAGGCTCTCCAACCTTGGCCCTCAGGCAACCTCTCACACACTTGCCAGCTTCCCTCAAATGCACAAATGAAAGTGGCCTCACTTTTCCATAGTCAACTTCTCTTTTAATATTTTTTTTTCCATAATGAGAACAAGTAGCTTTGCTGAAGAAGGGCTGTGAAATGATTGAAGTTCTCATGCAAACAAACCATTAACAGAGTTCAAATGCAATTTAAATTACCAGTTGTTAAAGTGCTCCTCAATTTCGTGGTAAGTTTCCAAGGAGAATTACATGCTATATACTATTTAATTGGTTGTTTTCTATTTTTTAACATCCATTTATCCCCACCACCACCCTTATATTTCAGAAGTGTCTATAAAAGCTTCCCTTTAAAAAATTATATATTATTGAATAGATTAAATCTAAAGATTGAAAAGTATCAAAGAAACAGCTGCAGAATTAGGCCGCTCAGCAAAATTGATGGTTTTGACACCATAAATCATGTAGAAATTTTAAATCTTAGGAGTCATCTTGTAGTACCAGATGAAGACACTGAGACCCCTAACAGGAAAAGGAAAGGTTGACTCAAAGTTCTCTCACTGGTCAGTGACAGAATCAAGATGAGAACCATGGCTCCTAACTCCCAACCCTGTGCCTTCTCTTCCCACCACCACATGGTTGGAGGAGATGATGGGAAATAGTCAATGAATTTTCCACCCATAAAAGAAAATACAAAGTCCTCTTCAAACACTCCTGACCTCAAAATCAGAGGTGGAGAAAGGCAAATACCTTCTAAAAAAAAGGAGAAAAAAAGAAGTAAAGGCTGATGAATGAGTGCATTCAAAGGAGTTCAAAATGAGCAGATTCTTTGAAGGAAAAGTCAAGACACTCATCTAGCTTCATTAATCAAGTATGAGACATTGAGACTGCCAATGTCCACTGCTTTATCCAGCCTGGAATGAGGGCCTGCCCCTGGAGTGAGAGGATAAAGGATAAACAAAGTCAAGCAGGACTTGTCACATCTGTAGATAGAAAGGATTTCTGGAGGTCATTGTAAGTTCAGGATGAAGTTCAAAGCTTGATATTAGATTTATGTAAGTTCTACTTTCTCTAAGCTCGAGTTTCCCTGCCTGCAAAACTGGGCTATTACCCATCAGGGAGATTGTAATCATGTCCTGGGATTCCATATCCAGCATGCACAAAGTCTGCATTAGAACCTTGACTGCTAAAGTTTTTATAATGTCTCAAAGCAGATGGTTCTGCCATTCTAATTATATGAACTATAACTGAGTCTTACAAGCATGTATGTTCCCTAAGTGTGTTAGATGCCATATATCCCCTGACTATAAATTCATTTCTTTTTCATTCAATAAAATAAAATAAAACAAGTGAATGAAAACAAACATCCAAGCATTTCCCTTCAAAGGAAAACTTTGGGGAACTATTTTAAAATGGCCCTCAAACCCAGTTTATGAACTGTACAGAAGGAAAAAAAATCCCAATTTAATGTCCAGAACCTCACTTAACCTGTCCACCAACCTTATAAAAAAGATTTCCCAATTATCCATTGGGGAAACTAAGGTCAGGGAGATTAGGCAAGGTTTCAGGACTAGGGAACATGAAAGCCAGTACTTGAACCCTAGTCTTTGAAGAGTAGGAAATGGTAAAGCCAGTACTTGAACCCTGGTCTTCTAAATAAAGCTCCATGGCACAGGTTTTATTACTTTGCACTTGCAACCTTACTATGTGCAGCTATTCTACTACATGTACCAAAAAAAACAAACAAAACAAAACAAAAAACTCTTCTGCTATTTTTACATTTTGAGGAGGAGCTTTGGGATAAAAAAGTAAAAGCTTAACTTTCAACCCCCCCCCCCCCCAAAAAAAAAGTTAATATTAGAAGCAGATAGATCCCTCCTGAATTCTACCTTCCTGTTATGTTCTTAGAGCCCAGGCTCTAAGCAGACATCTGCCCAGTATATGGGACAACAGGCCTGAGAAAGGTTACCAATGAGTTGATATCAGGCCAATTCCAAGAAAGAATTCAAATAATTGGACTCATGATGAAACAAATCACCAATAACGATAGTATGTGCTTCTGAACACCACTCAGATGCAAGTGTTAGCTAACAGGATGTCATGTGCCCCACATTCAGAGATGCACAAAACAGACGCCTGCTAGCACCTCTTGTCCTTAGGAAGGCAGAGTGCATGGACCTAGCAGGTGTAGGCACTTAGGCATGCTTTGCGCTCTCAAAGAGCTCATAACCTAACTGGAGACCTGTTTGAATACACACAACAAAAAGAAAACTGTGCAAAGCACAAGTACATGCAACGTTGTTTGGAGGGTCTGGAAGAGCACTGCAGATGACTTCTAAACTGAGCCTGAACACCCAAGAGGATTTCCACGTATGAGGGGGAGGAAATAGGCCCAGAGAACACGATGTGCTAAGGCCTTAAGGAGGACAAGTTCAGGGAGTTCTTGGGGAAAGTGACTAATCTGATGAGGCCAGTGGCAGCGCACATGGAGGGATGCAGCAGGACATGAGGATGGAAAAGAATGTTGCGGCCAGAACATGGAGGACCTGTGTGCCAGGCCAAAATACTTGGATCTTGAGACTCATGGATATGGCACTTTGAGAAATGACTCAGGAGAAAGTTAAATGGTAGTACTATCTTTTTAAGAATGGAATTGCCTTTCCATGGTCAGCGCTCAAGCATAGCAATGGCAGAAGTTTTTAAAGGAGCTTCCTCTGAAAGGCCCCACCCACAGAGAAGTCAGAAGAGTAGGTGGCTCTCAGAGTTATCCCAAATGTCCCAAACCTGCAACTCCATGGACCCTTTCCTCTCCTCTAGAAGTCTCACCCATGGAAGACCCAGGAAAGAAACTAAGTATCATGTTCCAAGCAGGATTTCCACTCTACCTTGAGGCTTAGGGAAATGCCAGCACTGCCCAACTTGGCAAATGGGAAGAACCGGCTGAACATAGGCTCTAGCCTCTTTCCTGTCACTGAAGTGGCAGGAGCCAGAGGCCTATCCACCAAGTACTGCATGTGTCCAAAGCTCCATACCTCAAAGCTTCCAGCCAGGCCTGGCACTGTGTGACTGGAACCTTCCACTAGGAATGAGCCTGCACTCATGTCACCAGTTAAATTATGTGGAATCCCTTCCTTTAAAGGAGCCTTTGCAGCAGATCCCATATGTCAAAGACACAGGCAAGATGTGATTCCCTTCCTGCCTTTCAGGAACTCCCAGTCTGGAAGGAGATAAAATATCAACAGAGTAGGAGATGGCAAGTGCCTTAGAGGAAGCACAGATAACAACACAATCCTCATTATAATCCTATGACTTGGTGTGATTATTTATACCCATTTGACAGATGAGAAAACTTAGGCTCAATCAGGTTAACTACCTTGATAGATCACATAGCTTGGAAGTATCAGAGCCAAAATTTGAATCCAGATCCTATGCTCATAAGCACCATAGAGATTCTCTATTGCCTCAGAGCCCATTGCGCGGTGAGTTAGCAGATGAAAGAACTGACAGATCACTTCCAGTGTGGGGGATTGTGGATGGTGGGGAGTATGGACAGTGAGGAGCAGATGATCAGACATTACTTCAGTCAGAAAGTATGATCTGTGCAGAAGTGTATAGGAGCAGCTGGGTGTCTATCTTTTAAGTGGGAGAGGTCCTCTCCGGCTAAAGGAACAGCATGAGCTAAAGCATGATGGTGAGAAAATGCAGGGTATTGTGAGGAAGGGCAGGGAATGTGGCTGACTTAGGGATGAGTGAGCAAGAGCATCAAGGAAGTTCATGGTCTGGATATGATGGGCTCTGGATTCCAGGGTCAAGAGTTTCTATTTAATGAAAAAAATACTAGGA